GGGGTTTGGCTCCAGAGCGGGTGGGAGCAGATGGCTCCGGATCCCAGAGTTCCCGCCGCAGCTGCGGCGCCCCGGGAACGTCCGGCCGGTGTCAGGCGCGGGGGCTGGACCCGGCGGGCGGAAGGAGCATCCTTTCCCCCAGGCCTGTGGCTTCTCTTGGCCAGGCGATGGAGCCCTTCACCACAGTTCTTTTGGAGGGCGTTTGTGGGGAGGGTGTGGGAGATGGAGGCATAGGAAAATCCTAGCTCTTTCCCTTGGGTTGTGGGGAGGGGTACAGGGCCACGGTGCCGTTGACCTTGAAGAAGGGGAGGGAAACCCCTCAACTCAGTTTCTGTCCTGTGGAATGGAGGTTGGGGAAGACACACTCTCTTCTGTGTTTCAGCACCTCCTCTCAGGGTCTGCCCTCGGAACCAGTGGGTTAGGGAGGAGCTCCTCTTCTATTCTTTTTCCAGAGGGAAGAACCTGCCACTGTCAGAGCCCTGGTCTCCCTGTCTGGGGCCGGGACCCGCGTTTGGGGATGTGCTTTAAGGGAGATGCCAACTGAAGTATTTTTGTCTTGCTAGCTCCGTTGCTAAGCAACCACTGAGCGGCAGCAACAGCTGGGGGAGAGCGGCTGGGATGGGAGGCCTGGGGACCACCCTCAAACCTGTCTGTACCACACACCTCTCCAGTGCAGGCAGGGTTCAGGGGGTTTGGAAAGCTGCAGAGGGAGGAGGGGTGGCTCAGTGTTGGGGGTCCTCCTGAGCCAGGAGCCTCCCCTCTTACTGCCCTTCTCCCATTACAGAGGCTGTGATCAATAGCCAGGAATGGACTTTGAGCCGCTCCATTCCTGAACTGCGCCTGGTAGGTATCCCAGTCCCCTTGCCTATAGGGAAGGCTGACCTCCCACCCACTGCACTCTCAGCTCTCTCCCTTCACCTCTCCTTTTCTCTCTCTCTCTCTCTCTCTCTCTGAGAATAGGGAATCGTTTTCCAGTTCTTCTGAGAGTCTACCTTCATAGCACCAACCTGGGAATTTGCTACATCTTCCTCACAAGTTTTTCCTCTCTAGTCTTTATGCAGCCATCCCCTTTTTCCTGTTTGTTCATGGTCCTCCTCCAGGCTTCTCACTTCTGGCATCTGCCCTTTGGCCTTCATGTTGTGTTGCCTAGAATTGGGTAAAGTTTTCCAACTAGTGCCTAGAGCTGTGACATGCTACAAACACACACACACACACACACGTCTAGTTTGTTTTCTAAACAACCCAACACACATGAAAAACTACTGAATTGCTGACATTCTTCAGCTTGTGCTCCACTTTGAGCTTGGGATCATTTCTTACCCACACTCATGCCCTGATCCTCCCAACTGCTCCGATCCCCCCAGCTGCTCTGATCCTCCCAAATGCTCCGATCCCTCCAGCTGCTCTGATCCTCCCAGCTGCTCCGATCCCCCCAGCTGCT